GGGTCCAGGCTCTTAGCTGTCAGCACAGAGCCTGACGTGGGGCTTGAACTCATGAACCACGAGATCATGACCTAAGCCAAAGTCAGACACTTATCCAACTGAGCCACCCAGGAGCCACCCCCACCTTTTTTAATTTTTAAAGAAGTTTCTATTTATTTATTTTGAAGGAAAGAGGGGGAGAACAGAGGAGGGGCAGAGAGAGAGGGAGAGAGACAATCACAGTTGGGCTCTGTATTGTCAGCATGCAGCACAGGATGGCACTGGATCCCATGGATCCCATGAACTGTGAGATCATGACCTGAGCAAAAATTAAGAGTCAGATGCTTGACCGACCTGCTGAAATTAAAGAGTCAGATGCTTGCCTGACTGAGCCACCCAGGTGCCCCTGGGATCACAAAAGTCTTGAAATAGCCAGGTAAATCTTGAGGAAGAACAAAGCTGGAGACATCAGACTTCTTGATTTCAAAATATATTGCAAAGCAACAATAATCAAATCAGTATGGCACTGGCATAAAGACAGATATACAGACCAGTGGAACAGAATAAAGTTCAGAAATCAACATATATCGTTAACTAATCTTCAACAAGAGTTCCAAGAATACACAATGGGGAAGGAATAATCTCTTCAACAAATGGTGCTGAGAAATCTGGACATCCACATGCAAAAGAGTGAAATTGAGTCTTTATCCTATACTCAATCACCTCAGCATTGTGTAAAATCTTAAATGTAGAACCTGAAACTATATAAAACTCCTAGAAGAAAATATAAGGGAAAACTTCATTACATTGGTCTTGGCATTGATTTCCTGGGCATAACATCAAAGCTCAGGGAACAAAAACCAAAAACAAGTTTGACTACATCAGCTAAAAAGTTTCTTGCAGCACAGAAAACAGCAGAGTGAAAAGACAACCCATGGAATGGCAGAAAATATTTGCAAATCATTTATCTGCTAAGTGGTTAATGTCAAAAATACATAAGGAACTCCTGCAACTCAATAGCAAAAAAAAAAAAAAAAAAAAAAAAAAAAAAAAAAAAAAAAAAAATAAAAAACAAAACAAAAAGAAAACCCTAATAACCTTATTAAAAAATGGACAAAGGACTCAAATAGACATTCTTCAAAGAATATATATAAATGGCCAACAGGTATATGAAAAACATTTCTTAGTGTAACTAGTTACCAGGGAAATGTAAATCAAAACCACAATGAGATATCATCTTACACCTGTCAGGATGGCTAATACCAAAACAACAAAAGACAAGAGCTGGTGAGGATGTGGAGAATTCTAATGAATTTTTGTACATTGTTAGTGGGAATGCTAAATGGTGCAGCTGGAAAACAGTATGGAAATTTCTCAAAAAAAACTAAAAACAGAACTACTATATGATCCAGCAATATCACTTTATGAGTATTTATTCCACATCATTGAAATCAGAATCTTGAGATGTTGGCACTCCTATGTTTATTGCAGCACTAGCCATAATAAGCAAGATGTAGAAACTACCTAATTGTCCATTGATGGATAGACAAAGAAACTGTGGTATATATGTACACCACACACACACACACACACACACACACACACTGTTGATATATACATATGATATACAATTCACCCTTGAAAAGAAGGGAATTCTGCAATATGTGACAACATGGATGAACCTTGAAGACATTATGGTCAGTGTAACATACCAGTCACATACAGAGACATCTTTAATGATCCCATTTACATGAAATATCTAAAATAGTCAAATTTATGGAATTAGAGAGTGGAATGAGGTTGTTGGGAGTTAAGGGAGGTGAGGGAAAAGGGGAGTAACTAATCAATGGACATATAGTCTCTGTTAAGTAAGATAAAAAAGCCCTAGAAATCTGCTGTATGACATTGTGCCCATAGTCAACATAAAGGTATTGTAGACTTAAAATTTGTTAAGCAGGTTAAGTGTTCTTACGATAAAATAATTTTTTTTTAAAAATGAGGAAAAAATACATAAATGGATGTATACATGAGCAAATAAACAAATAAAACTCTTTAGTAGTCAGGGGATATATTTATATTGAAAAAAAGGGATATCGGAAGCAGAGAGATCAGTTAGATGACTATAAGGATACTTAAGGGAGGATATAATTAAGACTGTAAAAATGTACAGATAGAATTCATAATTCCTTATAATTATTTAAAAGGTAGAGAATGAGTCAGATGAAACATTAAAATTTGAATTTTTCACAGGTGATAAAATTATAAGTTAATATTGTGTTAGTATTCCATTCTTAGATATATGCCCACCAAAAGACACGTGCAAGAATATTCACAGCAATGCTATAATGGCAAAAAAAACCTGGTGGTAGCACAAATGTCCATGAACCCAATAATAAACAAAATTGTGATTTATCACATAATGCAATACTATGTAGCAATGAAAATAAGTGAACTTTTGCTGCACACAGCAATATAGGTTGAGTTTACAAGCAAAGTTGAACCAAAACAAAACCTAACACAAAAACTACCTGTGTATGGTGTATGACACGATTTATGTAAAGTTCAAAGACAGGCCAGACTATCCTATAACATTAGAAGCCAGGATATTACACTTACGTCTTAGAAATTCATAAGGGAGTGTTTCTGGGGTGCTGGTCATGTTCTACTTTTTGATACAGTTGCTGATTCCACGAGAGTGTTTATTTTGTGAAAATTCTTTAAATTGTACAGTTGTGTTTTATGTACTTTTCTGTAAATATGTTATGCTTCAATTGAAAGTTTATTAAAATTATACATACATATGTACATTGAATGATTTCAGTAAAAAGCATGCAAACAAAATCTAGGTGTTAATAAAAGGTTAAGTTTAAACATTCTTTCAGATTATCTGAATGAAGAGAGAGTAATGTGCCTGAATTTTTTTCTTCCTTGCAGGGATTGCTAAGAAATTAACTTGAATTTTTATATAGGAGTTGTTTCAGTGTTTCTACATAGTATTAAGACAACATTTGTAGTTCTATAATTTTGTCATTAGAGTAGTGACAGAGAGCCATCATTCAACCAAAATGGTTTTTTAAAGTAGAGAAAAGCACCGGGTTCTTTTTTTATTCACTTGATTTCCCCATCTCTTGATTATATTTGTTCATATACATTTCTTTGCCTACAGTCACATTGTTTTTGGAGTTTTGGAAACAGCGACAAGCCAGAATGGAATATGAGTGGGACCTGGTGGACTTTGAAGAGGAACAGCAGCAGCTTCAGCTGAGACCTGAATTTGAAGCTATGTGTAAACACAGGAAAATAAATGCAGTAACTAAGGTAGATTAGGAAACTGAAATGGGCAGCGTATCTCAATGGACATAACCTCCCAAATAATTACGCATATTTTAATTTGCCTTTAAAATATTCTCCAACATATAAATCTTATAAACTTCTTTAGTTGTTTCTAATATGTATTTCAAATATATACAAAAAAAAAAGGTAGATAGACAAGCGTAATGAACCCCAGGATGGACCCATCACCCAGCTTCAATTCATATTAATTCGTGGACAATCTTGATTCGTTTACACTTGCTCCTCCCTGCAACTAGATTATTTTGCAGCAAATACGAGGCATCGTGTCATGAAATAGCATGGGTTTGTAATAAATGATGTAAAAGGAAAATGGAAAATAATGTGTCTGCTGTGTGGGCATATATATATATATATGTATATGTATATATATATGTGTGTGTACATATACATGTATATGTATACATATACATGTACATACATGTATGTATGTATATGTGTATATATATGGTATATATATACACATGGATATGATACTAAGTTAATATGCAAAAATTTAAATAGTATTGTAATAAGATAGTGGACTTATGAGTGATTGTTTTATTAGACCACATTTTATTCATCTAGTCCTTTTCAATTTATCATAATGGGAAGATCATTGCAGTAGTGTTTGGGCAGTAAAGTCTAGATTTGGGGATCCTTAACTGGAAAATCACCTGTATGTTGCTGACTGAGTAATTTGACTTCTTGGTAATTCTTTTTTTTTTTTTTTAATGGGAAAATAGAAGGTATTTTGCCTTCAAAGACCAGACTCCTAGCTGCATATTCTTAGCGTCCCTACCTTTCCATAATCTATAATCACTGCGTTGCTTGATGCTGTTAAAGGTGAATAGAATATGTCTCTAACACAATCCCAAAACACAATATGTCTCTAACACAACCAGAAAAGTAGATTTTCCTACTTTGTTCAGGACACTATTCTTGTGGTATAATACTCAAAATTATTTTCACAGTTTAGGCATTCACAAAACACTTATTAACTTTTATTGAGACATTGCAAAAAATTCAGTAAATGAGCAAAGGGGAAAAACACCTCAGAAAATACATTAACAACTTGGATGGCTGTATGACATTAAGAAAATATATTAAAAGAGACATTGTCCTGATGACATGAAGTGTATCTGTTCCTATTTCATGGTGTAAAAAAACTAAAAGCAGGCCTAAAATTACTGACATAAAAACAATATGTACTGAATGTTTATTTACATTTGAAACCAGCTGAAAAATAGTGTGGATTGATCCACTGTGAATCACCCACTTTAATGGTTTTGAAATCAAGGGATTTTTTACTCACTTGCAGTGCTTCAGTGGTTAAGTACAACCAGAACCCTCACATTTGAGTCTGTACTGGGAACACATATTTGTATGCATGGACACACACATGGGCACAAACAAATATGCATACACAGACGCAAACATATCAGACACACATGCACACACATGTACATAGTCACCTACATGCACACATGCACACACATCCGGGGTTTCAGTAGAGCACTTGGAGGGCTATTTTGCCTGTTGAGTTCTGTTTGCATTCAGTCTTCCTTAAAAATCCTCAAGATGTAAAAATCCTCCCTAAAAATCCTATCCTTTAGATAGGATTACAAAATTTAGATTTCTGCTGACAGCTATTCTTTTACTACATGGCAGTATTTTTTTTGGATAAGATCTAACTACCTCTTGATATAGGAGAGAATTTTCAGCTGATATAATTAATATCTTCCATTAATAACTTAAAAACATGAAGGTAGAAAAGACTGGGCCCTTGAACTGTGTGGAAAAACAGAATCCTGTTAAGGGTAAAGAAGGCACCCTGTTTAATATTATACATAGCAATTATGGAGCGATGCAGTTTGATTGAATTCAGTTAGAATAAAACTGTAATATCATTAAAGCATTTCAAATTAAACAGCAGCCCTCAGACTTGTCAGGCCTAATATCACTCCATTTCAACACTGAGGAAATAGTGTGTATCCATTGTGGCTCATATTATGTATAAAATCTGTCAACTAAGAGTAGTAGAAGGTTTCTACTTAAAGGGAAGGAACCAATGCTAGAATGTAGCTTCCCATGAGCTGTAGCGGATTCTCTGGGGAAGGTTTCTACTTTCACTGGGTTTTGTGGTTTTGACTGCTTTTTGGAGTCCCAACTTTGTGGGTAGATTTTGATAATGCTGTGATTTCTTCTAAATTGCAGGAGATGGAACCTTATATGCCTCTATATAGTCGCCTTCCATGGTACTTTTTATCAGGAGCTACGGTGACGTTATGGGTGAGCATTCTTTTACAACTGCTCTCATGTCATTGACGTGCAGTCGTAGGAAGATTATCCTAGCAGTTTCATCTGCAGTGACTCTTGAGTCCCTCTCCTTCCTCCTCGTCCCCAGTCCTTTTGTCTCGAATACAGCTTCTATATAAAATAAAGTGTGATCTATGTGGAGGTGCCATAATTGAACCTTGGGAATAATTGAACCTTGGGAAAAGAGCTGGGGGGAGACAGCGAGCCTTCATCTCAGAAACTGTCCTTCCCCCTCTCCTAGCACTTCATTAATTAGGTGATAACTTGAAACCTCAACAGTATAAAAAACTTATAGTCTGCAGACTCTTTGGTTAGTGTTTTGGTTTTAATCATTAATTTATCTTTATCTCCACTTAAAATAGCTACACAAAATGCAAACAAAAAGCATATGCTATTGAAATTTATTTTCTTGCTGAAATAAATAGAAGAAAGTATTACTTCTGTTTGAAAAATTTAATTAGCATATCCCATTGTGAGGGAGTCAGGTTTTCTCCATGCTTTTGAACTAATAGATTCATTCCTCCATCATCACAATTTATTTCCTGCCCTCCACTCTCCAAATCTGTGCCCTCTTATAGTTGGCCTTTAACTTTAGGAAAAGAAGAAATGTTACCCCCTGAGAGTTTAGCATTGTTGAAATATAAATAATTAGCAGCTGTAGACTACAGTTTAACCTTACCAGTGCATATTATCCCATAATATTTTAACATTTCTAGTTAAAGGAATTGATTTTTCTGTTTTAAATGTATGTTTTCTTAGATGATATAACAGTCACTGAGGAGAAATGATAGAGTAAATGGAGGGGGCAATAATCAATTCAGGGCACTACTTAAGAAATAAAATAGAATATGGTCTCAGAAAGATTGTTCTAACCTTTATTTCTAGTACTCATTCAACTTGATTCAGTCCCTCAATTTTCAGAATCAAGTTTTCCGATCATTGAGATAAAGGCATCCCTACATCTTTCTGTTTTTCCAATATGGGAAGTGTTTAAAATTTATGCAGAATCTATACAAATATCTCAGTGACCAGGCATATCAGACCACTGATGGCAACACTCTGAGGGGTAATGAAATAGAATCTGTAACTGTGTTCTTCTTGGGAAAGCACATAGTTTTCACACCACCTGTTTGGAGCAGAGGTTGGCAAATGTTTTCTGTCAAGGGGCCAGATGTATTTTAGGCTTTGTGAGCCTTGTACAAATAGCCCCTGGCATCTTTGTTTTTTCTTATAATCTTTAAAAAAAAAAAAAAAAGCAAAAACAAAACAAAACAAGACATTTTTAACTCAAGAATCATTTAAGAATAAGTAAGGCCGCGGGCAGGATTTTGTCTTCCGGATAGTTTTCTAGTGCTTGGTAGAGGATGGGCCTAAAAGATGAGCAATGGCTACTTTTCTGTTTTAGGCTCCCCCAACTGCTGCTACTGTAGATCCTGTCTTATCTCCAGCCCTTTCTCCTTGGCAGTGTTCTTTTACTGCCACCTGTCGTGAGAGAGCCTGGCTTGGTCTGCTTTCCGTGTCAGAGGCACTAACCTTAACATGACGCGATGAAGAGACTAGTTATGTTTCAGATGTGTACACATTGCAGAGATGCAGAGACCCAGTGACCGATTCCTTCTTTCCCATTTCCAGATGGCTCTTGTCATTGCCTGTATGGTAGCTGTGATTGTGTACCGCCTGTCAGTCTTTGCTACATTTGCTAGCTTTATGGAAAGTGAAGCATCCTTTAAGCATGTCAAAAGTTTCCTCACTCCCCAGATAACTACATCACTCAGTGGATCCTGCTTAAACTTTATCGTCATCTTGATCTTGAATTTCTTTTATGAAAAGATATCTGCGTGGATTACAAAAATGGGTAAGCTGGCCAGATCATCTGTGTAACACTGAAAAAGTATTCCCACCAGTGGTATATATCCACTGTGGATCATCCCCTGGGGTGTTCATATTTAAGGCAGTTCTTCAAGTTCTAAAGCAATTTTGTTCTATGGGTAGATGCATAGGCTGGTACTCAGAACCCCCAACAGTCATATTTAGGCCCATCGTAGTGAAAGCAAGAAAAAGAACTAGACAGAAGAATTAGGACTCTGTAGATCTTTTTTGAGTATTTTTGTCTTAATCCTCCCTTCAGGGGGCTAGTTGAATTTTAAGTAAAATCCTCACTTTCCTCAAGACACGGGTTATTTTTATTTCCTGTGTATGGTTTTTAGAAGGTATTTGATTTTGAAAACCATTGTAGGAAAAACAGAACAGTCGGCTTTTCCTGAGTAAATCTTACACGTAGTGCTTTTCTTTTCAGTTGCCGTGTCTTAGATCCTGGATTATTCTCCTTTTAAATGATTAAAAGTTCTCCCACAACCATGAGGGATGGTAAAGGCGTCACAGGTGAAATGGAGATTTAGTCCAGAAGAGGAGTGCAGAGCACATTTTTTTCTGGTCTTGCCCCCCAGCAAGTTGGAAATGAGATCGGAGACCCCTCTCCAGACCTCAGCTTTTCCCCTGTGCACTCAGCTCCCTCCTCTAAGTCAGGACACCATCACTGTGTGCAACAGTAACCAGAAAGAGCACAGTATTCACCGAGCACCGGAGTATGCACTAGGAAGCAACTTTAATTAAATGCTATCCTCAAATTTGTAGTTCTTTTTCAATTTTACTGCTTTTTTTCTGCTAATAACAACAACAAAATATCTAGCAGATAGCACTTAAAAACAAAGCATCTAAAAAATCAGTTTTCAGTGAGAAAAATTACTTGTGTTCATATTAGAGATTTTTTAGCAATGCAGAGGAATTATCTGTGTCTTTAGAATAATATGTGTTACTATTTCAGTATTATTGAAGCTGTCATCAATTTGGCTGGAACAGCTCATCCTGTTGGGAGATAATCAGCTCAGAAAAACATGCTCCCTGACTCTTTTACACCTACTGATGCTTCTCTGTGGTGTGAAGGGAATTATATATATATATATATATA